GATTGGGGGGGGGGGTTGGTGGGGCTTTTTTTGTGAGGTGGGTTTTTTATTATTCTGCTTGGGTTTTTGTTGCCTTTTTTTTTCTTCTTTAAATATACTCTTCATTTTAAATACAATTTAAGGAGTTAAGAGAAAGACTGTAATCAGAACGTAGCACATTCTGATCAGACCCTTATCTCTATTCGTGATTAAAATAACAAAAACTTGTCAGATTTTACTCAAGATAAAAGTAGAATTCACAAATCAGTTTGGAGCATATATTGCAGCGTGCTTGCTGCTTACTGTAATCCTTTCATAACTTTGCGACTGAAGTAAAAACAAAATAGAGAATAATAAATTATAGCAAATTTAGTAATAATAATTACTAAATAATGGTACTTGATCAACATGTGAGCAGAGCCATTCTGTAAAATCTATTTGGAAACAAAAGTTAATATTTAAAGTTTAATGAAAATGCGACACAAACTTAAAAATAACCATTCCTTACAGTTCATCTCGTTGCCTTTGTGACAGCACCATTGTGGCTGCAATGTCAGGTTAACGTGATTCAGCAGTGGCTGCCTCCTCAAGATCTAAAGTCTTAGGAACCCTGGATCCACAATTCAGTCTGCCACCGAGTGGCTTAAATCAAAAATGTGTTTCCAGACGCGAAATCCAATGGAAATCCGGAGGCATTCAACACAGAAGATTCAATCCATCTAGAAGGCAGAGAAAGAGTTACCATTAATTTCCTTTAAATAAGCATTCAGTCACTCTGGACTGACATGAAGACTTCTGTACTCAGATTGCAACACCACTCTGGATAGAACAAGCTGACTAAAATTGTAAATGCAATTTTATTTTGATAGTCTGGATTATGCCCTTGTAGCACATCTCCAACCTGGACTGAGTAGCCTGGAGAGACTTGTATGCTTTCTTTAGTTCCCATCTTTCCACCATTACTCCTTCAGGAAACAAGGAGCTGAAGGAGACATCTTCAGTCACAGCCCAGTTCCAGTTTGTAGGCAACTCCATCATATTTTCTTGTGATGAAAAGAATTTAGCCCTACCGTAAACAGCCTACTTTATGCACTCACTACTATCAAAAGGCTGCCCCCCTAAATCCTCTATCCTTACGCTAGACATTTTATCTTCTGCAGATTTCTCTCTTCATCAAACTAAACCCAGCAAGGTTCATTCAGTTAATTTTCAGCACATCCTAGAGATCAGCTAACGCTCTCCTATATCTTTCAAGCTTTGGGGGAGAGCTTAAGGAAAGAAGAGAACATTCCAGAAAGGGACTATGGAAGATGCTATGGCACACTTCAGGCCATAACCAAGGGCATCAAGGCACACTCAGGTTGTCACTGTAGCTTATTTGTTGCATTACACTAGGCAGTTCTCTAGGATTTAGCCAAACAGCATCTTTAAAGACTATGGCTATAATTCAGCGTGTGAAGTTTATAGGTAGATTATTACACAATTATATCAGATAAATTACTTTTTCTATTCTAGTAACACTATCTGAAGAAGTTCTAAAACACAATAGTTGCCTTCTTTTCAGTCATATGTTAACAGAGTTTACCTATAGTTAATCTTTTATCTCGCCCGTGCTTGGGGTACAGCAAATTTTTAAGCGTATCTTCAATCGGAGTCACAATTACCGTGGTGCAGAGTTGCCACAAGCCTGTTACTGCAGCTGGGTTCCGACAGTGACTCGATCACTACACCTCTGACAGCGCAAGCTAATTCCAAATGTAGGTGAAATCTGACATATTCAAGTCGGTCAGAATTGTGCCTTTCACAAGTTATCCCCCCCCACTTAATATCTTCTTATGCAGTAACATGAACTTCAGTATTCTTAGCATACAATCTACTTCAACTGGACAGTTTTAATCTTAGCCAAGGCACCATCACCAATATCGTTTCAGTGGCACCGCCTTTTGATCTCTACACTGCAGGTACTCTGTTGTAAGCAAGATGATTATGAAAAATGTTGAAGTTAGCATCTCTGGCATACCTGACAGGAGTCGGTATACAACACATGACTTACTCAAGCTGTTAAGCAACTTTAACCAACCAGCTTTTAGCAACGAGATAAACTGAACACAACAATACCCAATGACTGAGGAAATAGTAGTTGGGTTTGTAAACTCTCTACCAACCACTTCAGGAAAGATGTGTTCCCACTGACTCTCCCCTACTGTTTCTCCATTAGACATACAGGTACGCAAGGCTCACTATAAAACTTGGATAACAGTTTTGGTAAGGATCTTGTTTTAAACCAAAGACATTCTTGTAATAAAAACTTAAAGAAAATACTATGCTCATAGCATTAATGTCTACTTATCCGTCACAGGGGATCAGGAGCTTGTTTCTAAACCTATCTAGGCTCTGCTGTCTGCTTCAAAATAAGCTTAAGCTGCAAGTTGCTTGTATTTCACTCTGCTGGTGGATTTTCCACGTCAAATGCCGTACACCCTAATACTGCACTGCAAGCCGGTCAGGACAGGAGCACTCTAAACAGGCAAGACATTATTTAATTAGTTTGACCTCTTCCCTAATAGCTATTTCAGAAACAATTCAGTTGAAACTGATAGCACAGGGTGCATCCTTTCAGAGAACAGAAGCAAACGTTTCACTTATTCTTGTCCCATACCTCGCTTCCTGACAGGTAAAGAGACAACTGGATTTCAATAGATGCGTCTTATTTACCACACAGTAGGAGTATTGCATACAAATTAACGGAAATTTAGTCAATATAAAAAAATAATCTACTGAAATGATCAGAAGAAGTGCCCTCTAGAGGGCAATGGTGCTATAAATTTAAGTACTGAAAACGAGAGGTTTATAATGGCTGAATCTCTGCACTTCAGCATGAACATAGCAACGCTTTCAGTGGTGATAAACATTGTGGGGAAGAACAAAATAAGGCACTTCTTATACACAGAAGCACCGTTTGAAGCACTGAATAGCGGAACACAAAGACATAAACTTCCAAAATCTGCTTATAGTACTACCACGGTAAAAATCATAGTATTAAAACCAGAAGGTGGCTTTTGTATTAGGAACTACTACAAAGCAGTGAATGCCTTGTAAACCCAGCATCGGTGCAATAACTGTAGTAAAAATCATACAAAATATTTTGTGTATTTTGTCATCGCATCTAGGAGATGCAGCTACAGCAGTTGCCTAAAAATAACAGCAACTGTGTTTATAAGGCAATCCGTGCCATGTCATCTAGTTGGACAGGCATTTGTCCCACTCAAGTGTAAAGTAACCCCTAACTTCTCCTCCTGTATCCCCAACACTTAGCAACACCTCGCCTGCTCCATCGCTCTAACTCAGAACTGTTATTCAGAAACCGATCTTATGACTAGATAAATTTCAAGAGCTACAGGGCAAAACAGCTATTTCTGCTATTAACAAATTACAGCTGATCACCAATCAACTGATCTACAGTATCTCTTCTCTGAAAAGTGTCTGTTCCAAGCACCCTTCTCAGTATTCCTGGCTTTTAAACTACAACAGCACCTGAATATAAGGCAAAGTATTTTTAGCGCTACTTCCTTCATATACACCCTTAAACAAAACGGACAAAACCGAAACAAAACGGACAAAACCGAAACCCACCCAAGAAAAAAATGTCCAAAACCAAAAAGCCAAAAGGACCTGACTTTATACACCTGTGCCACTTTTAGAAGCGACAGAGAACAGATGCATATTGCCCATGTGCAGGACCTTTTCTTTAGCCAGAGAAGGCCTTGTGACATACACAGCTCAGCGGAGCGAGACTAACCAGTCCTCCTCCATTGCCTAGCAAGGTTTACAGTCACCACTGCCTTACACACACACCCGCAAACAACCTCAGTAATGAGAGGAAACAAGTGTTCAAAGAGAACCCCTAGAAAAAAGAAACCACAATAACCCCCACCTGTTCATTACCTCTTGCCTGAAATCAGTCATTTATAATAGCAGCAGCTTACTGTAAGTTGGTGTCAAGACAGAGCTAGATCTTTTTTGAAAGAAAATATGTCTTTGTATGAACATTTTAATTTGTTCTGTGTAAAGTACAGAAAAAAAAAAGACTGAACCTAAATAGAGCCATCCATGGATATGCCTTTTATTAATCGCCCCACTTAACACTGCAGAAAGTTTTTGTTTCTAACTTAAGACCTATCTGATTCCATACCAATAGTCTGCATATATAAAAGCAGTGAGTGGCAAACCTCTGTGCATGTACAATCATGCAACAAAACCGAGCTGCAAGTGTTTTCAGCAAGATCAGTTGTCTTCATAAGCATTTAACATTGGGAGCCAGCCCTGGCTGAACACCTAACACTGGAACAGGTATGACACAAACATTTGCCTCTTACTCCTCCTGGCAGTACAGTATCTGCTCCGTTTTCTGGAATATCGAGGTAGTTGGTAGGAGAAGAAACACAGACATCACCCACAGCACCTTAGGTAGGCTACTTCTTTATGAAAAAACACTAACTGTTCCAAAACTGTATGTTACGTCCTCCTCAGCTCCGTTAACAGTAGCATATCCTCAACAGACAACTCCACCTCACCTCAACTGCTAACTTTTCCACTTAGCTAAAGATCAGCTTTTATACCCAGGACTGGCAGAAATACCTGAGCAATAAGGGTAAAAGATCTAATTCAATCCTTAAGTGCTGTAGGACTGGAGTGGCATGCTAAAGCACAATCAAGAATCATCACAGGCCAGAATTTTTCCCCACAAAAGCTTCTAAAACATACAAAACTACTGCTAAAGAGCAACAAAGTGGGCAGAAAAACCTGAAAAGCAGAAGAATGTTTCCGTGTAAGGGAAGGTCGAAACAGCACAGTATATGTTTTTCTTTCAACGTTCTCATTTAAAAAAAAAAAAAGAAAAGAAGGAAATTCAAGACCCTCTGTCTTCACATCTAAGCATCGCCTCCCATCTTCCTACACTGGGATTCAGAGATTCCTTAGCTTCACCATATACAGCCTTTTGCTGGAGCCAGCTGCACCCACCCCAAGACTCACCCACACCGCACTGACACATTTACTCTTCTTGAAATTGCTTTGAGGCTCAGAGATTTTGACATGCATTTAAAGATGGTTCCACCTGATGGTGACTAAATACATACCTTTTGCACCCGGTTAGTGCCAAGGCACCCAGCCGAGGCTAACGGCACACTGGAAGGGGACATCGCAGGTCTGATACTGTATAGGAACCACCCTCTTCCTGAGAGGCATCCCAACAATTCAAAAGACAGTTTCTTCTTCACTTTAAACACTAGATCCTTATACCAATGTACATCAGTGTTGTTCAAGCATTTCCTAGATTACTGGAAAATTTTGCAATAACTTAACAAGAGAGACCTGCTAACCATTCATAAGATGCACAAATAGAAAAATGAAACAGGTTCAGCTCTATCTGTTAGCTCTTTGAAACAGCGATATAGTAGGCATTCAAAGCCCAATAGCTAAACAGATACAGTCAAAGCAATGAGGTAAGGAAAAAAAAAATAACTTTCATGCAAGAGATATTAATAATTCCCCTCAGTTCATGATATGCCATGCCACTAAATGATAAGCTTTGACTCATAGGTATTTCTGTGATGGTGCTCATACTTCCTTCAGGAGACATTTAAATATTATTTTCCATAAGTATTCTCCAAATATAATTGAGAAACAGATTATGGAATCAAATTAATCCTTCAGCATTT